TGATTTTCGGAAACTGAAAATTCTCGGCGAAGGGTTTCGAGATGTCAACAGACTACTCGCATGCCTATTCAGTATTATCCGCCGTTACAGATATAAGAGATCATTTATAGGCTTTGATTAATATCTTCATTTCAAGAGCCTAGTTGCACTGGTGGATATTTAGATTGGTGGTAGATTGGGCGGACAGTCGGAGGCAAAATTCGAACCCCCAACACGCATGATTTCTACCCAATGACCAACCGGGAATAAAAGGCTCTATGACCTTCGCATATACACTGTTCAGTGGGTTGTTGAGGTGCAAAACCGTCGGTAGTCTGTGGGGTCGAATCTCTCTGAAAGGATACAATACAACATATTTTCAGGTCGAGTGTCCATACTAACAACAGACGAACAGGAACACCTTTGGGTTTCTTTCACGCTTTCGTCTAGAAGGTTTCTGAAAGACCCAGATACAACATATTTTCAGGTCGAGTGTCCATACTGACAACAGACGAACAGGAACACCTTTGGGTTTCTTTCACGCTTTCGTTTCATCTAGAAGGTTCGTGGACGAAAGATCTTCTAAGACCAAGGGTGCTATCCGTGGCCACTAAGATGATCGTAGTTCTAAGGTGAACACAACTGATTAAAAACTGATCAACCTCCGTCACCTTGCTAACGAGGCACCAGGGGTCAGGTCCATTCTTGGAAACCTCAAGAAAGAACAGCACAAGCAATGAGCTGGGCGCAGTAGAATAAGACTCAATGTGGAACCTTCCTCATTCCTCCCTCAATCAATCTGCTACACGCATAACGATTTGTAGTAGTTATTATGCTTAAATTATCGGTCGAATGAAGTCAGGCTGACGGATATTTTTAAACACGATGCAAAATCTCATGACCGACAATTATCAACATTTCAGCTTTATGGGAAAACACACTGGTGTGATGGAAATTCTCGTTGGATTATTTTCTTACTCGGATGAACAGCTGTTCCGGATGACAGTGGATAGTGACGGAGATTGAGGACGGTGGAAGCTATCCGGCCACGGATATGCAAAGCTTTCGAACATTTAGGAGATTTGCTTCCGGACGTGTCAGCATGCACTCTCGGGATGGATTTTCGCACTGAATTCACACCATTTTAATGCAAACTTAACGCAGTTTATTCGCTATTCACAAGGGGTTCGAAACACAGCTTTGCGGATTATTACGTGACAGCTGATTTGCTAGCCATTAAGAAAACTTGTCTCATGCGATGATGTCCGAAGTATTGACAATAACTTTGGATTAACCACACTCACGACGACCTGAGGTGCTTATATTTCTTGGAGAAATCCCCATCAAATCGCATTCCCAATTGGGGTACGGCGAAAACTAATAAGCTGCTAGTGATTGCCGGGAAGTAGCGGTTTTCGGACTCTATGGAGAAGCATAAGATAGGCACCGGTGATAATCCTCAATAAGGATGCATTAATTCCGTAGTGAATCTGTCAAGGCTTTGCCTCAGATTAGGGATAAACCTCGATTGAAAATCACACGAAATGTATTTCAGCTCCACAACAGCCAAATATCTGACTAGTTGCTTCCCGTGCCCAAATTCAAGCGGTTAATTAACGGAAACACACATGAGTAAGATACATTCTAATTATTGGGCAGGAAAAATGCACCCAAATGATTTTAAATTAACTGATACTCCAACAAGGATGCATGATTCTAGTCACGCTGCTTGTCTTCTTTAGCCCCTGTGCTCCATTCTGCATATTACCTCTAACTTAACCGTCATTTTTTTCTTCAGGCGAACTTTTATCACACCTACCAAATCTTGCGTGCAAACAAAATTCCAGCGGAGAATACAATTACCTTCGCCTACGACGATATTGCAGACAATCCAGATTAAATACGACGTACAATGTTTGCCATCTGATAGTAACTAGACCGTAAAAATCGCGCTTTTCCATTTGTATTTAATTCGTCCCTTTTTTACGTCGTACACGGGTATAAATTGTGGAGGGAATCGGGCTGTAGAAAACTCCTTTTGTGCCTAACTGAGGATACGACATAAAGTTTCCACCCTTTAATGGCATTTCATGACACCAAACGCCATATAACCCTGGTGCAACTAACACAGTAATGCCACATCATTGTGGTTTGTCGTTGCTGGTGAAGGGCAAATTATAACTTTGTTTCGATTGTCAGTAGTCTGACAATATCAACATCGATACCCAGGTATCTTTTGAGTGCATTAGCCGGCTAATGGTTTGGATGGAGTTATAAGCGGACAACCTAGTGGTCTTCACATTCTGTAATACAGCCGATCATCAGTAGAGGGAACATTCTACATGAAAAATTGTTCTTTGCTATAAGTTTTCAAAAATCGTAAGTCATTTATTGCCCAATCGAATTACATTCACGGACATTGGGTGAGGATATGCTCATATAATTTGTTACTATATTATTACTCTACTACATACCATACTGTACTACTAGTATATATCTAAATAAACCTACTAAATTTTCACGCAATAATGTGCAATGTCCTATATTGTCTACCTAGCCGGATCTTTGTGGGATCTATGCACCAGTGTTGCGATGAAGATCGTTAATTTACAATAAATCGGAAGTGTGACACAGCGTGCACTCATTGTTATGGAAGTTTATCCAATTACAGGACCGGGAGAATTTAGTTTTTTGTCACGTTTTTCCATCCCATCTACATGTAACTTTTTGAGAAAAGCTCACTGCACCTTCTCATTTGTTATTTCAGAAATCCGTTTCCAGGCCAAGTATTCCATGAATACGAAAAGGAAAATATTTACTATCGTGGACTATCGTGGAACAGTATGTTCGTGCGCGGAAACGAAGTGAATTTTTCACTGTGTAACACAAGTTGCAAATACCATATCACTGCGTATTAAAACACAATAGCAAACGTAGAGCAGATTATCTAGGTTCACTGCATTCTAGAACGGTTAATTTGCTTGAATGAACACTAGTCATAAGGTCAAGGGAACTCTCAAGCAGCGCATGACCGTGTTCACACTTGTGCCCGCGGCCTAGGAAGTAAGTCTTCAGTGTATTAACGTTATTTTCACAGCTTAGTTTTCGATCTGAATCTTAGAAGCTAGCGTTTTTGTCAAGAGAGCAATGTGTATCAATGCTCGAAACCAGATACAGAGCTTCGTTCATGAAGTGTATGCGTCGACTATTATCTGGAAGCTGTTGTGCCTCCTGGATTCGCCATTGGCAAACAGCGTTCGATAGACACTTGATCGGGCCTGGCTAGTGGTTTTTAACCAGAGTTCGTCTTGTCAATCTGCCTGATAAAAATGCCATCCGCGGCAAACTCACTAACAATCAAGATTTAAGTTCCCATCATTCAGCGACCGTCGTGAAAGTAATATGAGTGAAGATGGCGATTGGATACTAAATTTCCCTTGCTTTTCTAAAATGTAAATGGATGGTTATTGTGAGTCGAATAAGTGTGAAGAACACCATTGTCACAGAACCATTAATTACTCGTGTTTATATGTTTCGGGACATCAAAGCGGATATATTGGCGAAAGTATTGGAAGGCGATAGGAACCTTGGAAAACATAGAAAGAAGGTGTTGAAAAGGTGAGGCCGCGCGGAAGCGGACATTTTTGATGCACTTGCTGATCGGAGCCAGTATTCTAGTATTGCAATTCAGGGTTTTCGGATTTGCGATACGCGTGGTTAGTGTTCTCGTACGTCGTATGCCACATAATCTCTTTAAGTAAGGTACCCGGATGGTAGTCGAAAGGGTTTGCTTTACTCCAAGTGAAACCTGGTTTATTATTTCCAGACTATGTATCATTGTTATATCATAGATTTCGGTAGCTACTTTTAACAAGTTTCGAAATTATTCAGTAACGCGCGTTTGTGGATGGTCAAATATATGCTCGGCCGTGTACAAATTGGGGTGGGACGATCTTGGTGTGCTCGGATTGAGAATTTGTTTTTACTCACTGTGTTGTCTCAAGTATGAATAATGAACAGTCGATATCCAAGTTCATTTGCAGTGCTGTGGTTGGCTGATTAGGAGTCCCTCAAATCCGTATCTCCATTCACCGATACCACTCTGAGCTTTTAGGACACCCCTCTCGCCTTAGGTTTCATGTGCTTTAAGAACGTCACAGTTAATCTTTCAAGAATTTTCCAGGGATCATTGACCCGTCTATGACGGGAAGTGAAGCGTTAATTAACACACGCAAGCCAGGAAACCAGGAAAACATTTATTCACTTGAAAATCATATATCTCTCATTCGGTCAGCCATACACTCTGTGAACTCGGAATGGCGGCACGGTACTTGCTCACCCGGTCTTTGTGCGTATCTACTGATTAACCTTATTCAACGTTTCGGATCCCGCACGTAGTTTGGCGAGATTGAGAAAGAAACATAGAAAGCTAGATGAGTAATCAAAGGCGGTAATATCCCTTGGAAGACGCAAACTGTTTTATCAAAGGAAAGAGCCTTCACTCAAACAAACTCCGAAAAATCAGGCTACAGCACAACACGGAATCGAAACGAACCAATGGAAATAGAAATACAAAACTCAGAAATCGTTTCGAGAAACAATCACGTGGGGAACGAGACCGTGACACAAGAGTGATCGGTATGGAATAATTGACGACCCAATCATTCACTCATGGTGTCAATTCGGTTGGTGACGGAACATTTAGAAACCGCTCACCAGGATAGAGAACACCTGAGCATGAGACTTCGTGGATGTCCGCGTTAGAAATGAAGGTTGGTCTCACCTTGAGTATAATATTGTTTTTTATTAGTGAATAACACACGCAGACATTTCCATTGGCAGATTTGATTATGCTGCCGACAGCGTGATATGGAAAGAGCTAAGTGTCACCATTCCAACGGCAATATAAAACTAGGTGATGTGGAATACTGGCTCGAACCTCCTCAATATATTAAAAGTCAAAATAGCTGCTATATCGCGTAAAACAACACCAAACCAAGAGGTGTCTGAAAAATCCAATTTACATTCCCATATTCATTTGACCATGCAAATAACACACTAAGTTAATTTAGCTACAGATTATGACCAGTAGCGTGTACCAAACAAGATTCTGACAAACAAGATTCTGATCCATTTACTTCATATATGTTAGGTGCTCAACGGATAAACCGTACAAGAATTGTGCTGATAAATGGCTGAACGTTTAACGTAATTTCCAAACCCCATATCCGTATGCCGTGGACAGAAATGAACTGTGGACCTTTTTATACCCTTCTGATCTCCTTCATCACCAGTTAAATAAGGCCGTTTATATTACAACCCGTCTTCTGAAAATTACGACGAAACCCATATTTTCGGGGAATATAACAATCAAATTTCAATTTCCGCGGAGTTTTGTTGTGCTTTCCAATGCGCAAGAGCGCTACCCAATGAGCTACTATTCAACACCACGTTAACCTTCCCCTTAAATTGCAGTGGGCCTTGTAACAAAGTTTTCCTCTATTACTCTGGCCATGGTGCGGTTGGATATATTTCTTTCCCAAATGGACAAGTAAGTTTTGATAATTTCTGTAACCACGATTGTAGCACACAGCTTTCTAAATGGGGGCTTGATTGAGAGCGGAGTAAATGGACGCATTTCCACCCGTGGTACCTCATAAAAAAGAGTTTATTGTTATAAGTGGCCTACACATGCACCGAATGATGGAAAAGAAGCTACGATTTTCGGACGTCGCCCACTGTCACGTTCGGTGGGCCTCGTCATGTTGCTGTACTGATAACATTATACAGAGTTCGTTTTTACCAAGTTCAACGTCGTTTAAACTCACATGTTTTCCGGGTTGATCCATTTACAATCTTGAACAAGCGTAGGTACGATAAATGTGGAATCTCACCGTACACGGTCACTCACGCGGCGTTGATGATACGAAGATAAGGTGCCCTATTTTCTTCTCGGGAGATAGCACGAATGTTTACTAGTATGATTTCGCCCTCCTATACCATGTATGGGAATGCTTTCTGTGGTGAAAACCCGGCAAGCAATGTATAATTGTTCCACCCTCATTAGGAATAAATGGTGGTGCGCTATGTAGTTGCACAATTTAACTGCTCGTCAACGGGTGGCCAACTGACAGCTTGATTAATCAGCAGTTAGTCTGGATGTAACGCCGATCATCCTTAAATCAAGGGATCCATGTCACACGTGACTTACTCATTGAGTGACAAAGCATATTGCAAATCCATTCATCGTGTGAATCATTGTTGGTTCAGTACTAAATACAGTGTGCTTTACGGAGCGTATTCATGTGGCTTTCTTAATGCGCCCTAATAGGGACTTTTTGCACTGAGCGTTTCAAGTGGATTTTGACCGTTGTAGCCATTCTTAATATGCAAGAAAACATATTTAAGTCTATCAGGATGAATGAAAATGTTATAAACGGCCGTGAAACTGAGACTCGGAGTGATATGTAAATAGGTCGGCAACTCATTATTCCGAATTTGCGACTACAAGCTTATTTATTCTAACATTGGTCCTTGCATGCCCAATCCAAAGGCGATTTACTGAATGTCACCCGGGTTGCTGGCTGAACCATAGAGGTCGTGGTCTCACTGATATTCCAGTGAAACAGAGCCAATCAACAGGGCAATAAGTTATAACTTCAGGGGGACGGAACAAAACGCAACTGAACGTAGTAGTTCAACTGTTCCTGGTGGTAAGCGTTTTCAAAAACTCAATACTCGTTCAGCTATAATCCTTCAAACACATGCGAATTTTCTTTTTCTTTTTGTTTTGCTGCAGCTCAGTGCCATGCAATTGAACGATATCCTCACCAGCATGCGTTCAAAGAAAACGTATAACAAATTGGTGTTTTATATGGATGCTTGTTACTCTGGCTCTATGTTCCACGATCTTTTACCTACAGATGCGGGATGTAGGTAGCATGATTTTTCTGGCTAGCACTCGCGCGGATCTTGCGAAATATCATCCATAATTTCCCTCACATATGGTAAAATACCGCACTATCCAGTTTAACAAAACGACGTAGCAATATATCATCCATAATTTCCCTCACATATGGTTTAACAAAACGACGTAGCAACCATTCTTCATGTTTTTTCCATTGTGACCCTTCATTGGAGAAAGTCCCCTGCCATCTACAAGAAGCTTCTATTCGGATAGCGATCAACATCCAACCTTCATCATTTAATTTCATTTCAGCTGCTAAACTTAATTAGCTGGTAAGAAAAGGTAACTGCAATATCGGTGCAACACTTGTGACATTTGGGGTCCATCTGCAGCACACAACATTCCCATGTGGATACCGTATTTGCAAATTGAGTGGATTTAGGATCGTTTATAAAAGATGCACTTCCACGGATCAAACAACTAGTATGATACAGTTGTCGTTCTCGTCAGTGGTTCCTTGGATAGGGATTTATCGGATAAAATATACCGTATTTGCAAATTGAGTGGATTTAGGGTCGTTTATAAAAGATGCACTTCCACGGGTCAAACAACTAGTATAATACAGTTGTCGTTCTCGTCAGTGTTTCCTTGGATAGGGTTTTATCGGTTAAAATGACCTATTATATATCTACATACTGATGTGATGTGGACGGCCTGAAGTGAATCTAAGGACTGATTATGCTTGAGGGAATCTGTGGACTGCGCCCATCTGAATGACCCAAAAGGCGGAAAAAACAATGCCGTTCTGTCGAAGATATTTCAGCGATCTTCTGATTGGTCTGTTGCTTTCCGAATTCTTGTACCGTCAGGAGTTCTGTGAGTCACAGTATCAGTTCTTCGATAGTATAACTCACTATCTCACCTTTTTCCATAGTGATTCATTCGTCCTCTTGTCTGAACCCCTCAAAATTTCAGTGTACGTAACAACCTCAGCCAACGAAAAAGAAGTAAGCTGGGGTGCTTTTCGTAGTGACAGGCGAATCGGTGCATGTACTGCAACCGAATACTCGTATTCGTGGATTACGGATTCGGAACACGTGAGTTTTACCTAAACTGTTGCACATAAGCCGCGGATGACTGTTCATCGCCAGCGCCACCACCACAACCATCACAGCCATTCCTACCGCCATTGCCAGTGCCAACGGCAACTTCGGTTTTAAACATGAAGATTTTTGGAAATTCAGAAATCACGATGACCCGGCGACCCCAAAATAATAAAACCATTAGTAGAATGTCGAAATTTCTCACTGATCAACCGATCTGGTTCGTCTCAGACCTCAGGGATATGAAATAGATTATCGAAAGTCTGAGTGCTATCAGGATAACTCGCGCTCTAAGGTAGAGATCGCCTTATTGCCACTGTCACTGGTTAAAACGCGGCAAAGTTAGCCTTCCTATCGATGTTAGTGGAGTTGTTGTCATTTCGGATACAGATCGCCTGAGTGAGTGTCTGGAGATGCAGGTGTATCGCAATGATAGTGGTAGGCCAGCACTAAATCATTTCCCCTTCCATTTGGATTCTTCTCCTTTGAATATGGAACACATGAATTTTGAATGAACGCACCGACGCATCAGTTTTGAAGAAGTATGTCGACCTTAATGATGATGACGTTGATGATAATGTTGATTGCCCCACAGCGTCAAATCCTCAACATGTGAAAGTGTATAGGGTCATGGCACAGTGGACTGCTCTGTGATTCATCAGTGGTATGCGTTGTTTCGCACGTTGGCTGCTGCTGAGAGGAGTGTTTTGATCCGGCCCAGTACGAATTGTCATTAAACTAGAGGTGGACGGAACTTCACATAGCAGAAGAGAAATAGGGATTCTATGAAAAATTTGTGTTGTATGTGTATGTTGTCCTGGAGCAATGTCGTTCCATAACCCGTTTGTCTTAACTCAAATGGTTTCACTAGTTTTGACTACATTGGATCCATCTGAAGGTTGCGCAACCACATTCGTCTGCTTGACATAGCATACCGTTTTCATTATTCTTCACACCACTTAGAAAGACTTGAAAAAGCGTACACTGGATCACAGTATCAGGGAGGTGAAAAAGAGGACAAAAAAGTCACGTGCTGAAGTACGGTGAGAAGGTGAGTCTCAAATTCTCACGGAGAAATTCATTTTG